AGTGACTAGGCAAACATGCAATGATTTTATACATGTTTAAACACCAGGTTTGTGACATAAATATGTAGTACATTGCCCTTGTGTTAGTCCATCTGCTCACACTAGACAAAAAGTTTTTACTCAGTGATGGGTGGTGGGTGGTTGGTTTGAGGAGCACAATGAAAAATATAAGAAGGGTTGCATACAAGATGCTTATTTTATTTTATTATTTTATTGCTCTTTTGGTTGCAAGTAATTTATCTGAAGATCTCTTGAAAGAAGTCAGGTAATTAGATTCAACAAGTGGGAAGCTTGTTTCAGAGCATTAAAACCCAAAGACTAACAGAAAAAAAATTCCAGATCTCAACACTATTGCTGCAGCATGGATTTAAGTCCTCACACACCGTTACCCCCATCAGAAGCATGATGACTAGAAGAATGGCCTGGGTTGGTCTGAAAAATTATCCAGACCCGAGCAGAATGCATTCACTCATTCTGTTCCCTAATGTATCCTGATGCATAATTATTGGGTTATTTATTTCGTGTCCAAATATTTTTTTTCTGATGAGTGTGTTTTCTCTTAAGATCATTGAATTGTCAGTTCTTCCAGTTACAGGACCTCTCTTCTGAAAATTTTATGAGCTTTCTTTAATAAATGAGTTTTTATGCATGGTGGAGGTGGGGGGTCTGTCCTTTCTCTCCTCTGTACTAACTTTCCAGAGATGAATGGAGAACTCCAGGCCAGGAGTCCAGTGTCAGCATTTCTGCAATAGCTCACTGAAATATTAACTCCCTTTCTTAACATCTGTATTTCAGTGGCTGTTTCCACACCATTTTGTGCACTATTTTATCAGTATGTGCCTTCTGACCTTTTGTGGTAGCATGTGCTTTGTGATTCTTGGTCGTATTTGTAATGTTTGCTCACATCGTCTTTGCATATCCAAATAACAATTTCAGCAAAATCCACTGTAAAAACAATATTTGGATTATTTAAATATTTTTTAAATATTTAAACGTTTTGGAGTGAACATTTTCATTTTACGGTATTGCCATCCCAGATTAAATCTATTTGCATGTTTTATTTACTTGGAAAAAAGATGTCTTCCAGCAGTGTATTTGATTTAATTCTATTTGGCATGTACAGTATTTAACTTTTATTAGTACCAATGTTTTTTTTCCAGAGCCTTAAAAAAAACAAAAAAAAGCAACACATTGTTGGTTTATTCCTTTACAATTTGTCTTTAAGGTACTTCTCTAAAAGAAATCAGCAGCCAAGAGCAACTGTGACCAAGCTATCCTGTAGAATCTAAATTTGAAATTATGCATCTCTATTGTTACATTACAATTCAAATCAAGTAATATATGACATCAATAAGGTGAAAACAACTTAAAAGCAACTGCCCCAGGTTTGCAACTAAACAATCTTTATAACAGCTTTGAGAATATGATCAAACATGTGGACAGTAATTTTTTCAAATCCTCATATAATAATAATAATAATTGCTTACATTTATATAGCGCTTTTCTGGACACTCCACTCAAAGCGCTTTACAGGCAATGGGGACTCCCCTCCACCACCACCAATGTGCAGCATCCACCTGGATGATGCGACGGCTGCCATAGTGCGCCAGAACGCTCACCACACATCAGCGAT